CCTACAGAAATGCAATGGAAATTGTTCACAATTTGAACCCTGCAACAAATCCCCTTTTTAGTTTTGAACAATTTAAATTGCATTTCTGTAACATTTCTTATTATACCCATAATATTTCAATAAACACATCTACATACAATTATATCACTATGATTAACAAACTTAACAACCTATTAACTTCAAGGCTTGTGCTCTTAAATTTTACTTAAAAGTGCTTCTCTAAATATAGGGTTTATTCTTAAAAAATTTTATTCAACCTAAAACACTTCTGGAAATGGAACTCTGTTCAATTGTGGGTTATGTGTCTTCTGTTTATTCAAAGGTGTCTGTGTATCTGTTCATCCAAAGGTGTTTATGTATTTGTGTTCATATGTTCACACACATGCATGCATACACATTCATTCACATACACATGGTGGCCACCGTCATACACACTGTCACACTGACATACTTTTGAGTTCCATGTCACTGCATTCTACAAACCAAGAAATTATAATAATTTTCTAATACCTTATAATTATAATAATTTTCTAATACCTTATAATGTTAGAGTTTCTTAACCAAACAGATAAAACTAACCAGATAGACAAGCTTTCTAACTGTGTTCTAATAATATTAAAACAACTGTTAGCTACAACAGCTTCTTTCCAAGGCCTCATCCATCATGCAGATAGCTAGAGAACACTTGTGTGCAAAAAACTTAACACATGAAAACACTTTTGCAAGTCAACTATGGGGCTGACACCCTTCTCTTTCCCCACTTCTGCTTTTGCGAAAGTGTTTTTAAAATTCTTAACTTACCAATCTCTTTACCAAATACCTTTGTGATAATAACAAAATTCTATAACAGTTCCATTTTGTAACACAGTATGTATAGACTATCCACATCTTCTAACAATTCTGATAAAATTATAGGTTAACATGTCTAAAAATTTCATCTGTATATTTTCATCTAGGCCAGGATGGATATTAATTGCATAATGCAACTGATCAATAAATGTCCAAATGGTTCCGTTGATCTCTATCATACTGTAGTAAAAAACGGAGCTGTCTTATCATCACATATTGCTTGTATTGCTTTTCTGATCACAACCCACAGTTGTGCTA